CCTTCTCCGCCCGCCGGATCGCGGGTTCCCCGACCCAGTGAGCCCCCAGGCCGGGGAGGGGCCGCAGGAGGGACATCTGAGGGGACACCACTCATCCTTTCAAGGAAGCATTGCTGGACCCTATCCTTCCCGTCCCCGGAATCCGACCCTTTTGGCAGTGGGACTCCTTGGTTGCCCTGGGAATCAGGGAAGGCTTCCTGGAAATGGTGGCTTTCATGCTACAACTTGAAGGAGGAGATAGCTGGGCCGAGGAGGAAGGAGCAAGGAGTGCAGAGGGTGGAAGCAGGGAGGTGGGAGAAGGAGCTGAGTGAGAATTTGAGCGAGTCTCAAAGTGGGCTTCCTCCTTGGGGTTTTTTCCAGGGAGGGCACCTCCTTGGAGTCTCCATCTGCCTAAGCTCAGCCTTCCCCACCTCCTAGGGTGTCACATTCTCCCATGCCAGGCCCCGACACGAGGGGCTGTGTTGCCTCACTTGGCACCAGGCACATGGTAGGTTCACAAGGAATATTTTGTTTTGTTTTGTTTTTGAGACAGGGTCTTGCTCTGTCTCCCAGGCTGGAGTGCAGTGGCATGATCACAGCTCACTGTAGCCTCAACCTCCTGGGCTCAAGCGATCCTCCTGCCTCAGCCCCTGCCCTGGTAACTGGGACCACAGGTGCACACCACCACACCCGGCTGATTTTTAAATTTTTTTGTAGAGACGAGGTCTCACTGCTGCCCAAGCTGGTCTTGAACTCCTGGCCTCGAACTCTTGGCCTCTGAAAGCATGGGGATTACAGGCACGAGGCATATGTGTTGGGTGAAGGAGCTACTGCCATCCTCTTCCCACATCCAGTGGATCACTGAGTCCCAGCCTGTCTTCCTCTAAGCCCAGCCCTGTCCGGTTCGGGCCCCACCTTTTGCTTGCATGCCCGCCTGCCCCCAGCAGATCTCCCCTCTGCCAGAGCTCCTGCATGCCATTTAGGCAAAGACTACCCTCCTGGCCACAGTCAGTCCAGCACCCCCAGCCTCTCTTATCAGGTCAGGTGGTCCAGGTCGCCGTGCCCCTCTGCTTGCCTGCTTCCCTCAGGGGGCATCCTGTCCCCCCCATCACATCCAGGATGCTGCCCCTCACCATCCTTGTGAAGCCCTCTTAGCCCCCAGCCTGAGAGAGGCCCTGTGCCCCTCACTTTCCCTGTGGCGGGAGTCCTGTTGGCTCTCCCCAAGGCAAAGCTAAGCTGGTGGTGCTGGCGGGGGGCAGCTGGGATCAGTCGAGGTACAGCAGGTGGGGACATGGGGTCACTGCCCTTTTCCCTGATGGCCACATGGGATGCCTGCTTGTGGCTGCACAGTCCCCACAGGGCTGGGCCTCAGGCAGCAGGTACAGGGCAGCCCAGGCAGGTGCCCTCTGTGGCCCTGGTGGCAGCGCTCTCTCCCTCACTCCCTGTGAAGCGCTCAGGGCAGCCCTCGCAGCCTCAGCGGGCAGCCCACTGGCACAGCTCTGCTGAGGGGCTCTGGTAACCAGAGCTGAGCTGGTGTGGGCCGTGGCTGTGGTGGACACGGATGCAGGCTCAGGCCGGGCGGCGTCTTCTCAGGGCCAAGGGACATTGGGTTGGACCTTGGCCGCCACCCAGGGACAGCTGCAGCCCTCAGCTTTTTGCTGCATCCAGCCAGGGGAGGCCTGTGATGTCAGGCAGACCAAAGGCGGGGGACCCCCATGGCTCTGAGGTGATGGGGCTTTGTTTGCACCCAGCCCTGCCCCTCTTTCCCAGGCCTCAGTGGCCTCCTTGAACCTTCCTGCACCTTGACCTGGCTGGACCTAAGGGTCTGACACACTTTTGACCTTGAGCTGAGAGGGTCCTTGAGACCTGCATGGGGTGATGTTACTCAGAGGGAAGCAGTGGTGGGGAGGGGGCATGGGCATAGCAGGCACATGGCAGGCTGTGGGCAGGGGGCTTCCCTGAAGCCTGCCCTGGCTGGGTGGCTGGCTCTGGGATGGCTGGATGTCAGGCAGGCCTGGGCTCGCCTCCCGGGAGTGGTACCCCACGGCCTCTTGGGCATCCTGACCTGTGCGGGACACTGGCCCTCCCTTCCCTTGGAAATGGGCACTCTCCTCCCAGGACGCCTTTGCCTGCCAGCCAAGCTCAGAGGGCCTCTGTGCCTCTGCCTGCCCAGAATCCCTTCCCTCACTTCCGTCACCTCTTCCAGGAAGTCCTCAGGAAGGCTTCTTCCCTCTTCTGCAGTCCTGGCTGCACTTCCTGTGTCTCTGCCGCTCAGGCTCTGTCCATTTCACAGCCTGGGCAGAGCCCCCAGGGTGGGATGAGCAGCTCACCTGCGCCTCGGAGTGGCAGATGGGCTGAGCTTGCCGGAGATGGGACCCCGTGGGACCCCAGGCCCAGCCCCCAGGATGGGAGTGCATCTCAGAATGCGTCAGTTCCAGCCTCCCCCAGCAGGCCCAGCCCACACACCTGCCCACCCAGGGTGCAGGGGCCTGCCAGGGCGGCGTGCCCAGCGTGTGGAGGGGGAAGGTGGAGGGTGGCCACAGGAGAACAGGACCACAGGGTATGTGGGAGAGCCACGGCCAGAAACTGGGGATGGGAGGGTGGGAGGCGGGGCCCAGCCTGGTCACCATCACAACAGTCACAGAGTCCTGCAGTGCCATCTCCTACCTGGCTGAGGCGCCAGCCTGCCCCATCCTCTCCTGGTGCTGGCCCCTCCTGCCCTCCCGTCTCCCCCTGTTCAGTGGCCCAAGGAAGCTTCAGCAGGAAAACCTGATCTCTCCTCTGCCTGTGGGGCCCTCCCTGCCCTGCTGTGAGGGGATCATGCCTGCCTCCCTGAGCCTCCCTGAGCCTCCATGAGCCTTCCTATACTTGGTGACAGTGTGCGTCTCTCTGCAGCCCCTTGTGCCCGGTCTGTGCTGGGCAGTGTTTCATGGGGTGCCTGGACACCTTCCCTGCCTTTTGCCCTGGTCTTCTGCCTCACTCCTAGGGTATTAGGCTGTCCTCGACCTCCCTGCCCCTCCCAGGCTGCTTGCTCCTCTGCCCACGGGAGCTGCAGCTCCTGGGTCCTGTGGACCCAGGCCATGAGCCGATCTCCCTGGTTTGGAGTGGGTGCGGCGGGTCTGTGGCCTCCTTGGTTCCCCAAGCACCTCTGCCCATCCTGGCACATTGTAACCACTGATCTGCCTCTTCTAGAACGGTGCCCAGAAGTCCTGGGACTTCATGAAGACGCATGACAGGTGAGAGCCTGGCCCAGCCCGGCCACTGGGGAAGCCCCAGACTGATGTCCACGGGAACACTGGGCCCAGGGGGAAGGGGCCCTCTCCTCCCTGACGTTTCTGTTCCCTGCGGGGCTCCAAAAGTCCCTTCTCTCTGCCCGGCCTCTGGGTTTCCTGTCCCGGAGGGGTCAGCCTGAGGCCTGGGGGCTGAGTCAGGTCTTAGCTCAGGCCACCAGGACTGTGATGGTGGGCAAGTCCTCTCGGGGCAGGGAGAGGTCATCCTGGAGCCTTTGCCCCTAGCATCCAGGGTCTGGGCTGGATGGCAACGTGGGTCGAGGAGTGTGGCTGGTGGGCAGCTGGTCAGTGAGGGCCAAACGTCCTGTCAGTCACCCGGCCGCAGCTGCTAGCACCCTGACCTACTCAGCTGCCCGTGTGTCCTTCCCTGCCCCCTGCCTCCCATCCTGCCAGCTGGAATACAGCAGGTCTGGGTCCTGGCCGGACTGTGACCCTGGAAAGCTCTTGTCCTGCCTGGGCCTCAGCCATCCTATCTGAGCAAGGGGCCTGACCTCCCTGGGCTGCTGGCAAGGAGGTGGGATGGCCATGCTGGGAACAGAAAGGTGGGAGGCAGGGCCCCAAGCAGGGCCAGTGGAGTGCTTCTGTGCTGAGCCCCTCCCACCGTACACAGCGTGACCGTTCTCTTATTCAACTCTTCTCGGAGGAGCCTGGTGTTGGTGAAGCAGTTCCGGCCAGGTGAGGCCAGCTGGGGTGGGAAGGGGATCTGCAGGGTCACCTTCAGGTCCCTGTGGTCCTGAGGGTCTGAATATAGATGTGGGAGGGGGCTCCAGGGGAAGCTGAGGCCCTGTGAGGGGGCCTGGCTGCACGGGTGACTTGGAGGTGGCCACCACGTGGCTGTGAGCATAGTCTGGCTTCCTCCCACGCAGCTGTGTATGCGGGCGAGGTGGAGCGCCACTTCCCAGGGTCCCTAGCAGCTGTAGACCAGGACAGGCCCCGGGAGCTGCAGCCAGCCCTGCCCGGCTCAGCGGGGGTGACAGTTGAGCTGTGTGCCGGCCTTGTGGACCAGCCTGGGCTCTCGCTGGAGGAAGTGGCTTGCAAGGAGGCTTGGGAGGAGTGTGGCTACCACTTGGCCCCGTCTGATCTGCGCCGGGTCGCCACATACTGGTGAGTGGGACCAGGCCCTCAGGTCTGTGGCGTGGCTCAGGAGGCGGGAGAGGCTTTCTGGGAGAGGGTGAGGGCCCCGTCCCTGGGAGTGTGCAAGCAGGATGGATTTCTCCTTGTTTTTCAACATGGGATTAGGGGAGGGTGGGACAGAGCGCGCCTTAGATCCTAAGCCAGGCCGGAACCTGGGCTCTTGGGGCTCTCTGGAGCGTCTCAGCCCCATGCCTCCAGCCTGCGGCCCCCAGCCGTGTGGGGCAGGCCGGGTGGCAGCTGCTGCTGACAGGTGCCTCTACTTCCTGTAGGATTAAGACCGGGTGCTGGGGGTGGGGGTGAGTCACAGCTCTGTTCTCAGAGGGTGGCTCAGGAATGAGGGAGAAGCTGTGTCCTGGGCTGGAGAAGGGGTGGCTCCAGCTCCCCTGGGGAAGAGGCACGGCCTGGAGCCTGTGCTTTGGGACGTGACCCCACCCAAGTCGAGGCGCCAACTCCTGCCCCATAAGGCCTGCCAGCTGGGGTTGCCTTCCCAGGACAAGATGTTGGGATGAAGCCCATCCACTTCCCCAGGGACACTACGATGGGCTCCTGACTCCAGCTGAGGTCTTGGGGAAGGAGGAGGGTGTCACAGAGTCCCCCCAGCCCCACCAGCTGAGCACCAGCCTCCACAACCTCCTCCAGAGGCTAGGGCCCACTCCACTGGGAGAAGCACCAGATGTCTCTGAGCCTGTCAGCCCGGCACATGGGCCACTCAGGGTTGAACCTGCGGCCCTCCCGCCTCAGCAGCCTCAAGGACTTCACCTGGGTGCGTTCCTGCCTGGGTAGGTGGACTCCAAGTTAAAGGCAGCATTTCCACGCTGGGCCAGGCTCACCCCTGTAATCCCAGCACTTTCGGAGGCCAAGGCAGGCGGATCACCTGAGGTCAGGAGTTCGAGACCAGCCTGACCAACATGGAGAAACCTTGTCTCTGCTAAAAATACAAAATTAGCCAGGTGTGCTGGCAGGAGCCTATAATTCCAGCTACTTAGGAGGCTGAGGCAGGAGAATCGCTTGAACCCAGAGGCGGAGGTTGCGGTGAGCCGAGATTGGGCCATCGCACCCTAGCCTGGGCAACAAGAGTGAAACTCCGTCTCAGCAAAACAGAATTTCCACGCCGAAGGGTGGACTTGGGTGTGAAGGATGGGCCTTCGTTTTCTGCAGGTGTACACCCCGTGGCCGGCCATGCCCACTGTGCCCCCACCTCCCTGGCCCATGGTACTGAGCACAGCTGGGAGGCATGGGAGGGGCTGGAGTCCCCTTGGTCCCCCTGGAGGAGGTGGGCCTGGGCAGAGGGGCTGCACGGCATAGGCTCTCAGGGCAAGTGGTGAAGCAGCCCTGGCCGCGGTGGTTCTACTGGCACAAGCTCTGGGCCACAGCCTGATTGTGAGGGTGCTGGGGAGCCAAGGAGGGCTCTGGGAAGTGGGCATCCTGCTTAGACTTGCATTGTGAAGAGCAGGCCGTGGCTTCAGGGATGCAGGACTGGAGATGCGGCCGACTAGGGGTCAGGGCGTCTGTCTTTGAGGGCCTGATGGGGGGCTGGACTGACAGCAAAGTTTGCCCACCCTGTGGCAGGGCCCGTGGCTCCTGTGTCTGATTCTGGAGGTGAGCCAGGCCTCTTACCTGCCGCTGCAAAGGACAAGGCCCGGGGAGGCAGTCAGCTTGGGGCGTGATGGAGTGAAGTTGGAACGTGCCCTGGGGTGGGGGAGGCATTGCCCAGCCTGGCTGGTAGGTTCCTCTCAGCCCGGGCCAAGGGCCGGGCCTGTCTCCTTCACAAGCCAGCGGAAACCGGGGCTGGAAACCCCAGACCCGCCACTTCCCCCAGAGGTGCAGCTGTGGCCGCCACCGGAAATGGGCCATCAGGAAGGGGTCTGCGGGAGGTGAGGGGCTAGAGGGCAAGGAAGCAGCTGGGTAAGGTCAGTCTGGGATGGGGAGGCCTTGGGGGTGGGGCATGGAAGCCCCCAGTTCTGTTCCCTGCCCATGCATGTTGGGCCCATCTCAGAGGGCGGCCTCCACCCTGCAGGCCTCTGGCTGGCCTCGGTTCATGGTACCCGACAGCCCCTCCTGGGGCGAGCCAGGGCTCCCCCACCCCCTGGTCATCTTCTCAGATGCCCCTCAGTCCCGTTTCTCCCCAGATCCACACCTCGCTTTCCCCGTCCTGTTCCAGAATGCAGCCTGGTCCCTCTGCCATCCTGTCCTCCCAGCCTGTGGTCTCCCTCCACACACGCCAGTCCAGGCACCTTCCCTTGGTGCCTGACCCCTCCTGGCTGCCAGCAGCCCCCTTCTGGCCACTGCCCACTGAGGGAGGGGGCTCCGTCTCACCCCTCCCCAGCCTGGGCCACTGGGCCTGATCCTGGGGACCTCGCTGCCACCCCACCCCACTCTGCCATGCTGTGGGGGGGTCAATGCATGCTGTCCCTAGTTTGAAACTTGTGTCCTGTGGGTTCCTGGTGGGGAACCCTTGTGGGAAGGCCATTCCCAGCCTGCTGGGTTTGTCCCTGCTTCCCAGCCAGCTTGTGTCCCCAGGTATGGGCTGGGGTCTGGCATGGGCCTCTGCAGCCGGCCACAGACTGAGGGGCTCCAGACAACACCGGGAACAGCCTCACGGTGTCTGTGGTTGGGGGCTGCATACAGGGCTGGGGTCTTCTACTCAGCCTTGACAGGTGGCAGGTAGGTTGTCCGCCGGATCTGCAATCTCATGGGGGCATGGCGTATCCTTGGCCCACATGGTTATGGCAGAATTCACGTCCTGGTGGCTGGCAACTGGGTCCCACCTCTCTGCTGGCTGTTGGCCCCTCCCAGCATGGCGGTTGCTTCCTCTTCAGGGCCAGCAGGACAGGTCCGAATTTCTCCCTCTCTGGCGTTGAAACACTCTCCGGAGGGCTTCCTGATTGGGCCATGCCTGCCTAGGATGCTCTGCCTTTTGATGAGCTCAAGTCACTGCTTAGGGTCCTTAATCACATCTACAACACCCTCCCCACCTGGCGAGTACAGCCTGATCAGGGAAGGGATGCCCTGCTGGTGGAGGGGCCACAGGCGTGCACACCAGGTGGGCATCCGGTGGGAGAGGGCATCCCACAGTCCTGCCTACTGGAGGGCTGGAGGGAGCAGAGTAGAGAGGGTGAGTCGGAGGGTGGTAGAAGGACCAGGGGGCCAGCAGGGCGACTCAGCAGACCCTGTCTCAACCCGTAGGTCTGGAGTGGGACTGACTGGCTCCAGACAGACCATGTTCTACACAGAGGTGACAGACGCCCAGCGTAGTGGTCCAGGTGGGGGCCTGGCAGAGGAAGGTGAGCTCATTGAGGTGGTGCACCTGCCGCTGGAAGGCGCCCAGGCCTTTGCAGACAACCCGGACATCCCGAAGACCCTCGGCGTCATCTTTGGTGTCTCGTGGTTCCTCAGCCAGGTGGCCCCCAACCTGGATCTCCAGTGAGATCCAGGGTTCTAGACAGAGGCCAGTCTTGGCCACTTACCCTACACTCTGCAGACCCAATAAAGGCTTACATAGCTCCAGCCTCTGCCTGCTGGTTCTGAGCTGTGACCAGGGCCTTGGAGAGGACTGGGGAAGGGGCGGGGAGCAGCGACCCTGACCTGAGATGGCCCTCGGGACACGGCGAGCTCTCCTGTAGCAGGAGCAACTGGTGGCAGGCCATGCAAGTGGCTGCTGTGGGGCTGAGGACAGGCCTGGGGATGCCATGGGCAGGGCCAGGCTGTGCCTTCTCTTGGAACTAGGAGGGGTGGGGTCTGGGACTCATGGAGGGTGGCATGGCAGGCCCGGAGGTGGGCCTGCTGGTCACGTGGCTGCAGCGTGAGCTGTACTCACAGGAGTGGTGGCTGAGCCAGTCCTCGGGTGTCGGGATGGGGCAGGCAGCACTGCAGGCTGCTCACTGCAGGGAAAGTGCGCTGCCTGCTCCTGGGGCAAGTGAGCGGTCCCCACCCTGACGAGCTGGGCTAGAGCCACTCCACAGGAGCCTGGAGCCAAAGCTGCCCCATGTCGGGGGCCCCAGTAGCTGTCCATGCACCCCCGACCTTGGAAGTTTTCCAGGGGACCTTCCTCGGCCTGTGGGGTATGCAGAAATGTCTGCAGGCCCCCAGAGGAGGGGGTGGCACACAGGGTGGGGACACAGGGCCAGTGTTCTCCTTGACATGGGCCAGGTTCCTGGTGCTAACCCGATCCTGGTCCCGGAGCACAGCCTCAGCCTGGGCCGCCCAGCACCAGGCTCTACTGGCCCCTGAGCATCTCTGGCCTGTATGCCTTGGCCTTGCCTTCTGACATGTCCTGAGGGTGGAGCTGTGGGAGGTGCGTGCAGCTCAGAGCTGCTTCCCAGGTGCCCACAATGCTTGTGGGGCAGGAACCCCACTGGCCTGGTCTGCTTCCTGGGCCACAGGTGCACAGGAAGGGCTCCACAGCTAAATGGCTGTGTTGGCACTGGTTGTGGGCATTTGAGGGCACTGCTGGGCCATCAGTCTTGGGCAGGATCCTCTCCTGGACATCATTAGGTCCAGGCTCTGGCTCCCAGGAAGGTGGAGAAGGGGACTGTGAGGTGAAGGGAGCCTCAGTACCCTGCAGGGGGGCACCCTGGGTGGGGAGGTGGGAACTGACCCCCTGTTGTCATCCAGCACAGTGCCAGGCAGCCTGGCATTGGAGGCTGTCCTGAGGAGGCTGTACCTCAGGGGCCCACAAAAGCAGTGCCACCTGTATGCAAATGCTGACTGTGGCGCAGGTGGAACCCTGTGGGCATCAGCAAGGCCAGTGACAGGGCTGCCGCAGAGGGGCTGTCTGCATCAGCAAGGCCAGCGACAGGGCTGCCGCAGAGGGGCTGTCTGGTATGAGGTGTGTGCCTGGGAGAGGCGGTCACGTATGGGTGCGTGTGTCTTGGCCAGCCTCAGCTTCCCTCTACCCAGATGAGGCCGCAGCAGGATGTTCACAGGACAGCAGCCCTGCTGTGCTGCCCTTACCAGCAGCCTGCCTGGTGACCCCATGAGAGTGCAGCGGGCCCTCCGGGCTGACCGGCAGAGGCTGCCCACTGCCTCAGAGGGACCTCTTGCAGGCACCAGGTGGGTCTGGCCCCCAAAGCACCGAGGGGACAGGTGACAGGGCACCCGGACCTGGGTGCAGTCCAGCCCCTCACTCTGCTCCGAAGCCTGATGGGGTGGGTCAGCAGGCAGCGCTGCCGGGCCTAATGGAGCTGGCATTGATTTCCCAGCACTGGAGAGGGGGTTGTAACCGGAAACTCCCCTCCCTGTCTGCTATATTTAGCACTGCAGGACCCGGCGGAAGCACAGCTTACTCCAGAACCTCGCCGGCTCTGTCCAAACCCCTGGCAGCCTGTCCCCAGCCTGGTCCCCAGGAGTGCCCTATGGGCCCAGAGCCCCTGGCCACGCTGAGGGGCTGCACCCTTGCCCTCTGCACACAAACTGGGCACTGCCCGCTTCAGAGCACACCCCAGCCCCTCAGAGCACAGCCAAGCCCCTCAGAGTGGGAGCCCTCCAGGCTGGGGGATGGGTGGCTCTGGGAGGCTGGAGGGTGCTGTGGTCCAGCGGGCCGCAGGACAATGACAAGGTCCCTTTCTAGAAGAGACTGGGGAGCTTGGTCTGGTGAGGGTTGGGGCTGGAGCCCTGGTCCCCGCTGGAGCCTCAGCCCCTCACCCAGCAAGGTGCAGCGCCAGGGAGCAAATGCTTTTTGTCAAATCTGTATAAGGGGCAAGAGTTCCCACTGCTGCCTTCTGGGAACTCAAACCAGGGTCCAGCTGCCTGGCATTTTTGGCTCAAGGGCTGCAGAAATTCCTGCAGGAAAGGGACCCCCTCCTCCCCAAGGGCGGGTGCGGCCACCTTCCTGACCTGGGTCCTCTCGTGGACATCCTGAGGTTCAGGTAGTGGCTACCAGAAGGAGACGATGAGAGGGAGCCACCCTGGGCAGGAGGGCAGGAACTGACCCCTTGGTACTGCCCTGATGCTCACCCACCTGCCCTGGGCCACGGATACCCAGGCAGGTCTCACTCCAAAGGACCTGGAGGGAGGCAGTGGGGTCGCCATCCCCCTGCTTGGCAGGATGGGCTGGGCTGTCTACCCTGAGGCTGGGCAGGCCAGTGGGCAGCGCTCCAGGCAGGTTGCGGCCCCTGCCGGGTTGAGCTTGAATCTTGAGATGAGTGCGCATCCCTCACTGGGGCCTCCGCGCTGAGACAGCTCTGAGCTGGGGGCGCCTTGGCTGAAATGCAGATGCTGCGGGAATAGGCCCCACACAAGCCCTCAAAGTTCAGCTGCAGGGCCACTAGCCGCTGCGTGGCCAGCCTCTTCAATCCTTTCCTCCCACAGCTGGCCAAAAGCAGGAAGCTGGGAGCTGGACCAGGGAGGGGAACCTGGAGGGGCTGTTCCCTGGGTTCCCTCCTACGCTGGAATTCCCCCACCTCAGCCCAGCACTATCCCCTCCCCTCACCTGCACCATGGCAGATCCTTGACCTCACCCCTGTGCCTGTCCCCTCCCTACAACCAGGGGTCTTTGTGAAAATGTAGGTCACTGCAGCCCACTCAGCTCAGTTGCTTCGGTGACCCCTGTTGGGTCTTAGCGGGGGGACTCTCACGTCACCACTGGCCTTGGGTTGTAGTCAGGACCCTTACCAGGGTCCTGCTCCTGTGGCTCCAGGGCCTTGACACATGCTGTTCTCAGCTCCTGGCCTGGCTGACCTGTGCCCGTCCACCCTCTGGCGGTCCCCTATGCCAGATTCTGCATTACTTGTTTAAGTCCTCTGTCCACTCCTGGGCCAGGAGCTCCTGAGGGTGTGCAGGGATGGAGTCTCCCTTGTTCACCACTTAGCCGAGTGCCCAGCAGAGGCACCCAGCACCCCCTCCCCCACCATAGTGGGGCAGTGGGCATAGGTGGGGATGGAGCCCTGGGCCTCTGGAGCCGGGCAGGGGGCTCCTCTGTCCTGGGGTTTCCTTCTCTCGAGGACCTGAGTACCTGCCCCCAGACCAAAGCACAGGAGGGGTGGCATCTCCACAGGGAGCCCCTCCCCCCGTAGGCGGTAATCACTGCCCACATACCGGAAGGCAGCAACTGGAAGGCTCTGAACACAGCTTGGATTCTCTTATTTGGTGGGGGTCTCTGTGCAGGCCTCATCCTGGCTTGTGTCTTAATCCCCACGAAGCCTACCCGCTACTAGGTTTGGGGTGGGCATTCTGAGTAAGCAGAGCCAGCTGAGGCGGGCATGGGGGCACTCTGACCCACCCCTTTAGGGACCTTCAGCTGAGCCTGCGGCCTGGATCCTGGAGGGGCTGCTAAATAGGGATGAGGCAGGCAGACCCTGCATATGGGGTGTTCACAGGCCCTGTGCCTCCAAAGCTCTCTTCTTTCAGCCCTCAGCCCCAGCCCCATGGTGGCAGTGACTTGCTCCAGGCTGGGGGGCTACACTGTCACCCAGCTCCGGGCACAGGACAGATTTGCCAGAGGAGCTAGGGGGAGAGAAGGCAGCTCGATTATCACGGGGATGGGTTGAGGACCCCTCTGGTCCATGTGGGGATCTTGAACCACCAAGGTGACCCCTAGCCTTGGAAAGGACCGCGCTCAGTGGAGGAGAGGCAAGGTGCCCTTGGTATTGACCCTGTGGCGGAGCCTCGAGGTCACCCAGGGAGAGGGCAAGGAAGTGACTGCAGAGGATAGGATGTGGAAGCCTGGTGACCAGGGCAGCAGGGGGAGGCCTCTCTTGGGGTAGCCTTCAGGCTGAGCTTGGGGGGCGAGAGGCGGGAAACGGGGAATGTGGCCTGAGCACTTCCTGAGGGCATGGCCTGGCGACCCGAAGCCAGCTCCGAGCTGAGCAGTCTGCACCCTGGAGCATTTGTTGACTGGCTGCATGACCGGCGCGCCTCGCAGAGGGGAAGGCAGGGGTGTCGGAGGGGCGCAGCGCCCCCTGCAGCCGGCGTGGAGGCGGCAGGA